AAGTTCATGGAGGTAGGCCTAGGCCCACTGGGGCTGTAGTACCAAGGGGGAAAAAAATCGTTCGTTTCTTGAATGGCCACCTTAGGTTGTCATAGCTGGATCCATGTAGGAGCTCCCAGGCAGTCGTTAGCCTTCACGAAGGGAACTCTAATGTGTTACCGAAACTTTGGAAGACCTTCAACATTGTACGCGGCACTTCCCTGAAAGCCGAAGACACAATAATAGGTTTTCTCTTTTCTTTCTTGATGTGTTTTGTTTTCGCTTTCTTCTTAATGTTATTTCCTGCGCCCCAGAGGAAGAAGATATGTCTGCTAGTGGGAGATCTCTGACTTCGTATTTCGCAAGATTTATTTTTCTTTGATATCAGAAACACATTTTTACTTGGAAGAAGTTCAGCACTTTAATTAACTTTTTCGTGATATCTAGTAAAGGCTTAAATGCCCTCCAGGGTTCTGGGTTTTACACCACGCTACTCTGATGATTTATTTAACGATGATATCAATGACGCGAGCGCCTCTGTGGTCTAGTGGTCGGGGTTCCTGGCTACAGATCCAGAGGTCCTGGGTTCGATTCCCGGCGCTACCAGATTTCCTGAGAAGTAGTGGGTCTGGAACGGGGCCCACTCAGTCTCGTGAGGATAACTGAGGAGCTGCTTGAAAGGAAATAGCGGCTCCGGTGTAGAAAGCTGAGATCAATGGCCGTGGGGATCCGTTGCGCTGACCACGCGACACCCTCTCTCTGCTACAGTTGGCACTAACTTCGCCGACAAGCGGCGGTCGCTCGGTCGGTATAGTTCGCTTGCGGACTGCAGACCACGGAGCATCAGTGACGCGAACTGAACAGTATAGCGTAGCAGAATGATTAATGTATAATGAACATGGTAAGCAGACTGTAGCGTAAATTCAGGTACAGACACTTATGTCGTTATCGTTCTCACTTTAACACGATTAGGTTAGATCAGTAACAAACATCATCTGCAGGGGTTGAACATCAAGCCATTTAGTCACTTTTTCTTGGTCTACCTGGATCACTTTTTCCTAACTGAGGCCAGTATAAAATTTGCTTAGGAGCTTTTCATTCCGTCATTCTCTCGAAATGTGTTTCTCAAATTCCGTCATTCCTTTTTATGGCCTTATTACGGAGACGATAAAATTATTATTTTTGATACAGAAGATGGGCTTCGAAAGGTAGTTCAATTATTGCAACAAGCAGCGAAGATGAGACCGTCTCTGTGGTCTAGTGGTAAGCGTTCCTGGCTACAGATCCAGAGGTCCGGGTTCGATTCCCGGCGCTACCAGATCTTTTCTGAGAAGTAGTGGGTCTGGAACGGTGTGTACTCAGCCTCGTGATCATAATTGAGGAGCTATTTCAAGGAAATAGCGGCTCCGGTCTAGAAAACTGAAATTAACAGCCGTGGGGATTCGTTGCGCTGACCACGCGACACCCTCTATCCGCAAAAGTTGGCACTAAACTTCTCCGACAAGCGGCGGTCGCTCGGTCGATATAGTTCGCGTGCGGACTAAAATCATTGAGTATTTTTGTTTGTTTAGCAGCGAAGATGTACAGCTTAGAGATAAGTAATCACCACTGTCTTAAATCCAGTTACTTAAGCTCTTTTTTTTCACCGCGATTAAGCCAACTTCTTAATTTACTTTGTTTTAGTTCTCACTTTAACGCGATTACGCGAACAGTGAGAGGCAGCATGGATGGCGGCAGCATGGTATCGACGTTAAAAGCTACACGTATTGCCTATATATGGGAGCAGCAATGAAACATAACACTGAAGCAAATCGATTCCTAAAATCAAATGAAGTGCTGCTTTCTACATGAATAAGATGTGTATACCTGTCTGCATTATTTGGCTCGTGTGCGAAACCCTACACTTTTCCTTCAATTCTTATGGAAAACTAGCTTTTTCTTTACGCGTTTTTATAATACGCGATAGTTTTCAGAAAAGCCTCTACAGCGTAAATCGGAAAAGACTGTAATACCCTGGCATTTTAAGGTATTTATTTCTTATATAGTGTCAAATACAGCAACCGCCTATCTCGAACACTGAAGTCATGGGTTTGAATCTCAAGAGTGGCATGGAACTTTGGCTCCGATTCTTCTGTTTTTGTATTCTCTTGTGTAAGTAGAGGCCTTCGACTGGCTGATCCCCCATCCAAGGAATACTACAAATTTTCTGTAAGATTCACAATCTCAGAAGTTTATTTTGATTGGCAACAAGCAAGTGGGCTTAATACATGGAAAAGAAGAAGAAGAAGAAGAAGAAAGAACGCGATATATTTAGCGACGAAGTCTGTAATTCAGTCTTTGCGATACGGGGCGTCGAGTGATTAATGACAGGTATGATGCTGTCATTTTCGTATAGATGCTGAGGAAAACCACGGGCCTTACTTTGTTTCTGATTGACTGAAATGTATCGGACGCCAGACATGACAATTCCGTCGGTGTTACCAATTGAACATAGAATACATACCTGTAACTAAGACGTTATATACCGTATTACTTCGAATATAAGACGCATCCAGTTTTTGAATGTGAGTTTTAGGAAACAAATTGGAAAGGTGCGTATTCCTCGAATTTAAGAGTCGCCTCAATTTTCGAACGAGGAAAAATGTGTAAAAGGTGCGTCTTATATTTGAAGTCAGGACATCGGTAGCGTAGTTAGTCGAGGCACTATGCTACAAGCCGGAATATTATAGGTTCGATTTCCGATGATATCATTTGATTTCTTCAATTGACCTAATCTTTTTATCCGCACTATAGCCCTGGGGTCGACTAAGCCTCAAAAAGAAATTAGTACCTATCTTCCTAAGGTTAAATGGCGGCCGGCGTGTAAGGCTAACAAACTTACCCCCATCTGTGAGGCAATTTTCTACATAATGTGGGACCCTCAACGTCTCTCAACCCTGTGAGCTTCCACGGCCTGTTACAGGGATAGCTGTATCTTTTTTATATGGAAGTAATACGGTGTATATTCCTGCCTCCAAAAACATTATTCGAGTCGATAAAATATGCCTCAGGCTTCTCTCGTTCTCTGTGCAGGCTGAACGCACCGATCATATCATCCCTTTTAATGTACTCACCCCAAAAATGTCACATCACAACAAAGTTTGTATTGAAGAAAGCAGTCTTCTGGGATTTGGCACCGTGTATATGTGGTGTTAACCGACGTCGGAAGAATGTATCGACTCCATCTTCAGGGTAAAAGGAAAAATATAAGAAATCCGCAAGCGAAGAGACAGTGAGGACCGGTAAAAATAGACTGCTTGTACCGGTTCTCACGAGCTCTTCGCTTGCGGATTTCTTATATTTTTCCTTCTACCATGAAGATGGAGTCAATACGTTCCTCCGAAACGTCGGTTAACACCACACATACACGGTGCCAAATCCCAGAAGACTGTTTTTTTTTCATAGTCACCGCCGTGAAAGCCTCAAATCTTTCGAAGTTTTGATTGTAGAAAAATGTTGTAAATACAAAAACGGCCTAGGCGAGGCCCCTCCGGCCTTCTGTAGCACATTCTTATAAATATCTTATTCTATAATAGCGGTAACCCCGCGATTCTTAATGTAGATCTTAACTTAAATCTGAGAGTTACTGTTAATGATCAGTACAATCACTTCCTTCACTTTTCTTACGTATCTGTTTTATATAAATATAGGAACTTTGTAACAGACGCCTTGCAGAAAACTTTTTTCTCAAACGGTTTGTCGACACGCAGGCACGGTGGATCATTTTTATTTCTCGGAACCACGGAGACCACGACAAAGTAGCGTATTCATCGATAAGAGTGACATCTAGCGGCAAGGCTCTACACTCGTTTGTTTTCGTGGGGTGTTCTATTCCAATCGGTACACCGGCTATCCTGACTGAAGATTTTCATGATTTTCCTCAGCATCTCGAAACAAATTCCGGAACAGTGCCTCAAGCCGGCATGTATGCTTCGTTTTACTTTCTAAAAAATTTATGATTCATCAATCATTGTGTCAGCCTACGCTATATAATCTTGATACTGCCAGCGCCACAGAATAACTCACGAAAAAGCATGCGTGAAATAAATTGATAAATTTTATACATTAATTAAGAAAAATTAACGTCAAGAATTTGTGACACTCATAGTTCCTTTGTCACCATCTGCCTCTCTGTGTGTGGGACGCGTGACTCTACACGTGGCTTAATATGCAACTTGTTATAACAAAATAAAAACTCTGTGGCCTGTAATCCGCAAGCGAACTCTATCGACCGAGCGACCGCCGCTGGTCGGCGAAGTTAGTGCCAACTTTAGCGGATAGAAATTGTCACGTGGTCAGCGCAACTGATCACCAGGGCCGTTAATCTTGGTTTTCTAGACCGGAACCTATATTTACATGAAATAGCTCCTCAGTTATCCTCACAAGGCTAAGTGGACCCCGTTCCAGACCCACTACTTCTCAAAAAATCGTTAGCGCCGGGAATTGAATGTGGGACCTCTGGGTCTGTAGCCAGGAGCTCTGACCACTAGACCACAGAGGCGGTCATGGATTTTGTTATATAGATTTTAATTAAACGAAAATAATTTACATTACTAATAAAATGCCATTCTGCTTCACTATGGTTAAAAATTAGTTGAGAAAACTAAAAATATATAAAATTGAAGTAATAAGCTGTTTTGACTCGAAATTCAATGCATAAAAATGTGACGTGACGAAGTATTTTGAGACTGGATTTGTAATCAGCATATCATAATTAATTTAATAAGGTAGTTTTACTTTTGAGTTGCTAGGACGTTGTTGTGCCGATCATAGTGGCCGCGCGGTCCAAGGCAGGAACACTGGAATCGTGGGTTCGAATTCAAATCAAGGCATGGATGTCTGTGTATGCATCTAGTTTGTGTGTGTGTTGTCCTGTGTAGGTAACGGCCTTGCGACGGGCTGATCACTCGTCCAAGGAGTCCTACCGACTGTATAAAAAATTACGAAACTGAAGGAGAGGCCAGGGCCCAGTAAAAGGCTGTAGAACCATTGATGAATGAATGAAAACTTTGTTAATTAGTGTAAAACGGGAGTTGTACAAACATTGTCTGACGTCCGATATTCTAAAGATCACAACGTTTCGGAAACTGGATCTGTTTCCGTCCTCAGGTGATGGTCTGGGAGACGTCTACTATACCAGGTCCCTTATGAAAAAACTAACCCCAATCACCGCTCCGAAATGTATTGCATTCATCAACAGCAGACCGTTGCGCCTCTGAAATCAAACAGAACGAAATAAGGCAATATTCTTGAAGTTTCAAAATTATGTAATAATATATCTTAGATTTAAACAAGTCAGCGTAAAATATAATTGGGTATCTAATCGAAGTTCTTAATAATATTTCATAGCCTATAAAAGAAAAATCTTTATCACCTTCGTGGCGTAGGCCCTATGGCGTCTTCCAGCTCACTATTCAACTACTCTCTCCGGGTCTCTACTCCCCATTGGTTCATATTTCCTTCCTGTTGTCTGAATTCGATACTTTTCCATTCTTTGCAGATGTTCTCCGCAGTTTTCTTGAAAATGCCCTATAAAGTAAAATAAAAGTAAAGTTATCCCTCTACCAGGCCGTGAAGGCCCATAGGGTTGTGAAACGTTGAAGGTCCCACATTATCAAGACAATCGGCTCAAAGATGGCGGTAAGGTTGTAAGCCTTACGCGCCGGCCACGCTTTACTCCCCAGGAAAGTTATTTAATTAATTCCTGGTACTTATTTCTGTTAGAGGCTGAGTCAACCTCAAGGCCATAGTGCGGCTGGAAGGATTAGGTCAACCGAAAAAAATAAAATGACCTCATCGGGACTTGAACTCTCGACCTTCCGGCTTGTAGCATAGCCCCTCAACCAACTACGCTACGTCACTGTGACACGTGACAATACGTACGGATTTCAGATGTAGTTTTGGGCGATAACGTGTATTGATAGCCGAGTGTTCCGCGCGTGCGCAGACCGCCTATATAGTGCCCCGCATTTGCTGAAATATCTGGAAACATTGGTCTAGGGGCAATATTCTGGACTCATGTTTAGTTGGCAGTGCTTTCTGATCTCGGCCGACACACCCGATGCTCTTACTCAAAGATTTCGTGGATTTTCTCAGTCCCACCCGGCAAGTTCTAGGAGAGTTCCTCAATAGGTCCACAACCGTATCCTTCTCAATCCTTTCGAATTTACCGTATTTACGCATGTATAGGCCGCACATTTTTTGCCAAAAATTCAAGAGGAAAACTGGGGTGCGGCTTATATTCGAAATATTCGAAATCACACTTCATTTAAAAAAAATATATATTCATAATTAGTAATACAGGCTGTTCTACTCCTGAAATAATATTCCAAGAAAATTATTTTTTCTATAATTTCTGTCTGAAAATTGTGCTGCGGCCTATACACGCACGCGGCCTATACATGCGTAAATACGGTATCATTCTTTAGTACGACGGTGTATATGCCTAGCCTAGATACAGATGTGATTGTAAAGCAACACACACAGAAGAACATTTTTTTTTCCTTGGCACTACAGTCCCAGTGGGCCTATGCCTACCTCCATGAACCCCGTTCACTTCGCTTTCTCTAGATCTTACACATTCGGTAGGACTCCTTGAGCGAGTGATCAGCTCGTCGCAAGGCCTCTACCTGTAGACAAACACAGAAAAACGCACACAAACATCCATGCCCTGAGTGGGATTCGAACCCACGATCCCGGTTTCTAAGCGAGCGAAGGCAGTACATGCCTTTGACCGCTCGGCTACCGTGACCGGCGAAGAACATTTTAGCGTAAGTTAATTGCAAATGCGCCCTCCCCCACCATCTCCACTTCGTACAAGGATACGCCACGCTTTCGCAGACTCTCATTGCCTTCTGTAGCCGTGAGGCAGTTTACAAAGAAACAAACATTTTTTAAGAAACTCAGTTAAGGTTGTTTCCTATTTCTTTCTTCTCAAGTTAATCAATTGCATTCAGTTCTGTATTTCTTAATATTAATACAACTTAGTAGAATAGTACAACTCGACTTTGGTTTTATTTTTAATAGACGATGTACGGACCTTTCAACATTTCAATATTAACTGACTCTTAAGTCAACTTCTCAGTTATAATAATATGGCAAGAAGCCGGGATAGCTCAGTCGATAAAGCGACTGGCTACGGACTGGACAACCGAGGGTTCGGAGATATAGTCCCGGTAAGGTCAAGAAATTTCTCCACGTCGTCCAGACAGCTCACTTAGGGCCGCTCAGCATCCTATCCAATGGGTACCGGTCGTAAAGAGGCCGAGGCATGAAGGTGATCACTCACCTACATCTAGTGACGACGTCAAGAAAATGTGGACCTATACATCCACTCCTCCATAATTAGTTAAGCACAGGGACAACTTTGTCTTTTTTACCTTTTATGATAAGTATATCGTTAGAACAGACAACAGGTTCTGGTTCATCAGAATATTACAGTTCACCATAATCATTAACACCTCAGTCCTCATCAGTGTCATCTTTGTGGGCGTAACACAGAGTGTACCATTTAAGTCCCAACCCAAAATACGAAATCGCAGGCAAGCGTACAGCTCATGTCAGCTTTGTTGTCTTAATCGATGCTTCCGTGTCAAGCTACTCACTGCTAAATATTTCACTAACAGCAGCAAATGATCCTGATGTGAAGTAACGGTCGGGAATGAACACATGAATAAAACATGCTCCGACGCGCAGGCCTTCTGCGCAACTGGAAACAGCTGAAGCTAAGCAGCTAATATGAAATAGCCTCGAGTGTCACGAGGTGGGAGACGTGAATGTTCCTAAAATTGCGTTTTAAATGGTACACCCTGTAGATATAAAATGTAAAGTTATGGGTGTGCTTAATTAATTAATCTCCACGCTATGAAGACTTGTCGGTGAGTAGAGTTATAGCTCCACCATTCTTGACCACAGCACTAGATGGAGGTAAGTGGTCAGCTTCGCGTCCCGGCCGCTTTACATTTTAATTTAACATCAGTTAAGCGGTCCAGTGCTATCAAAATATTACAAATATACGGAAATTAACACTTCATCTCTGACATTCTAAGAGTTAAACTTAATTCAATTTTCTCCGAATGTTCTGCGACGCTCCCTAACCAATAAGCTGCCCTTCCACTATTTTGGAAACCACCGGTATATACCATATCCACTGTCAATGGATACATTAATGCCAGTTCCCTCAGCCAACCCGTGGCGTCTTGGTATCGAGCCCCAGTTGCATACAGCCAGAAACATGTTCCTTCTCTCTGAGAAGAGAGGACCTCGTGGATAAGTGCAAAGTGTACTGCACTTACAGTGAAGGCAGGTCCCTATTTCTCATGACGAGACCACACAGTGCCCGTGACGACGATAAAAAGGCTGTCAGTAAGATTCCGTCAAGATATGATGCTCTGAGGCTGTGAGAGCAATCCCTTCACCTTCGCTACTGCACTTTCGGACGCTGGATAAGTTGATCTGGTGTCCTGTGTTGTGTGGCCTCGCTTTGGGACCGGCTGTAACCGCATTGAATTCCCTTCGAGGCGTAACTAATTTGACTGCGATCTGGTGGCCGCATTCTACAACTTCCGTTATTGAGCACTTACACCCTTCCACTATCAGACAGCCGGGCCGGGAGTGTAGTGGCTAGGCTATAGGCTCGTACGCCGAGAAGTCGATTTGTTGCCAGCAGTCAACCATGTTGTGCAAACCGCCTCTCTTACCCAGCGTCCTACCCACTGGACACCTATGCTTATTTCTCCAGGGGGTGAAAGAGGCTGTGTCGAGAAGCTGATCACTCGCCTTCAACTGGTGCCAAAGGTTGCGAATGCGCTAAGATGTACCTAAAATTCTCGACACGCCTTCATAGCGTGTTGCTTAATTAACAATAGAAATAGCTTTATATTACGTATCCACTTATAGAAGCCGGGATAGCGTAGTCGGTATAGAGAAAGGCTGGGGGCTGAACGACCAAGGGGTCGGCGTTCAAGTCCCGGTAGGCGTAAGAATTTTCTATTCTCCGTGTCGTTAAGACCGGTTCTGGGGCCCACCCAATCTCCTATCCAATGGGTATGGGAGGGTCTTTCCCCGGGGTTAAAGCGACCATGGCGTGAAGATGACCACTCACCTCCAGCTAGTTCCGACATCAAGAAAATATGGATCTGTACATCGAGACCCCCATACGCCTTCATGCCGTAGTGCTTAATTAGTTACGCAAATGGACAACTTTACTTCATAATTGTATAGAGAGAGCTGCGTTCCTTGGCACTGTGACCCAACTACTGTACCAGGTAGAATATTTGACAACTTGAAAATAAAATGGAGCAGATTTATTCTTCAGAAATTTAGTCACTCGGTTTGTCAAGAAATTTCCTTCCTTGAATGGGGACAGAAATCTCATTACTGTGTTCACAAGAATCCCCCACTGAACCCCATTTTGCGCCAGAGGAGTCCAGCCCACACCTTTACACCACGTTTCTTTAACTCTTTGAACAAGATTGGTTACTATATATACCAACACTTTTAACATAATGAACTCTATATTTTGCCTGCAGAGTGCGTTTATAGATTCTAATTTATTCCTACTGGCCATGGGAGCACGCGGTAGCGTGGTTGGTTGAGGCACTATGCTACAACCCGGAAGGTCGCGGGTTCGAGTCCCGATGAGGTGGATATTTCAATTTACCTAATCCTTCCAGCCGCACTATGGCCCTGGGTTCCACTCAGCCTCTGGCAGGAATGAGTACCAGGAATCTTACTGGGGGGTAAAGAGCGGCCGGCGCGTAAGGCTGACAACCTGACCTCCATCCGTGAGCCTTCACGGTCTGTTACAGTGATAGCTTTAGCTTTTTTTTACCTACTTGCCATAGTAATGCAAATATAATGTGTTTTCTTTGAGATAGGAACTAAATTTTAACCAGGTCATAATTGAACAGGAATAATTGTAACATGCTATATAAGACTTCGTGCTCTTACTATTGTAACGGCCGGAGAACAGATGCTGCAAGAACAGCCTCCGAAGCAAAGGAACGGGGATGCACCGTTAGGCTATTCGGGACGAACAGCCTTAAGGAGGGAGCAGTGTGACGTGTCGCGCTAGCTGGACCACCCCCCCGGAACTGACGCGCCGAGCGGAGCCGAAGTGAGCCGAGCGGTGCCGAAGTTAGCCGAGCCCCAGCGTCCTGGTAGCTATGCAACGCGAGTCAACAGCGGTGACGTAAGACGGCGTGAGGTAACAGCGTTGCTAGGCTATACGCAGACACTGTTACGTGGGACGTAACGACGCTGTTGACGCGGGCAACAGGTAACAGCGAACGGAATAAAAGCCGGCTGAGCAACAAGCGAGAGCCAGTATGTTATCAACAGTTCTCAAGGCAGCAGCCTGCGAGTAGAGTTGGAATCTAGCCAGCGCCGAGTTACGAGTGAAAGTGTGTGATAATCAGTGACAGATAACTGAGAATTGGTTGGGAGTGTGTAACACAGTGACACTTGTACAGCTCCTGTACTCTAAAGGTGTAGTCTACTGACAATAGCGTGATTTGATTTGCGAATAT